TAAACCCGCAGTTGTGTGTTCTTTGTTCTGGTAACCTTATTGTTTGCTGTTCCTTTAATTTGATGATACATTTTTGAAACTGAATCTTTTTCTACCTGTACAAAATTGTAATGGTTCATCTTTACCAGTTGATTTCAACTCATATGTTCGCATAGCTTGTCTGCCTCCTACCAACTAACCTACTTGTTAACCTTTTGGTATAATTTTTGTTCTGTTGTATACCAAAAACACTTTAGAAGTGACTAACAGAAAAATATGAGATATGAGAACCGTGCTAAAGAAATGAAACTCTTGGAATGGATACGAACGCTGACTGTTCTTCTTCAGAACCTTGTATTTCACTGAGCCACGAACATCAGAAGACAAAGACCGACCTGTTACTGTGAAGAAGACAACTTTATTTGATGAAAAACACACCATTGATAATGTTTAAATTCTCATTGTCAAAATTGAAAGTCATAAGCAAACAAAATTGTTTCCAACGAGCTCTAAACAGGCTTCACGCTAATAGACATAAATTTTCTCACATATGAAACCTTAAACCAATCATGGTGGACGCTCTACACTGTGGTAACAAGGAAATAAAGCATACAAAAAGTAGATTTATAGATAATTTTGACTATCTAAGATAACTGTCGTTTGGCAAAATGGTATTTATACTGGATGATAAAGGTGAAATAAAAATTTGAACTAGCGACCAATAGATTTTCCGGTCTACCAGCTGAGCTACAAGGCTCAACTGCTGACCAGATTTTTATTTCCTTTCAATCATCAAGGGTTTTGCCCGACTTCCATGTGAATTAGTGACACGTTACTACCGCTTGATCATACTCATACTAGCTGCCCAGTAAGTACTTCTCATCTTAATCCAAATGTAACTGAATTAGAGAGGGGGAGAATCATATCTGAGATAACCAGCGACCACCAGGTTTCCGGCCCCCTGATGATAAAAATAATGGAAACAGCAGGATGATGCAGATATTTGAATAATCAATGTAGGCTTAATCTTTAAAAAAAGCCAGGTTATGTAATACTGAAGCATGAAATACGTAGATAATTAGATTATAAGCAAATAAATATCCTATGGGAAAAGGGTAAAACAGGGGAAGATGAAAACTGGATTCATCCCTAAATTTATTCATTAAGTTTTATCTAGCAAAGGCAGAGATAATAAAATAATTTTTAAAAAAATACTGAAATAATCATCCAACTCTTGACCTAGTGGTTTTATATGTTGATGAAAACTGCATACAAATGATACATTTTTGTCAAATAAAGAGCCGTTCATAAAATCGTAGGTCGGTCCTCCTCTTCTATTTCTCCAGACGCAATGAAGTATCAGGCCGGTGGGAGAACAGTGGCCATTCGTTCCCTCAAACTGTCCCATTGCGTTATTATCTTTTGCGTCTTTAGTATATTTCATTCGGTCATTTGAAAACCAATCGTGGTAATGAGCTCCAGGACTAGGGACGGATACATGACGTACCACGCTACTTTCATTGTTCAAAGGGATGCATGGCAATGAAGGATCGGATATTCTTCTGGTACGTTACGGAATAGGCTTCAAATCAAAAGCCTACACAATGGTCCTTCAGGGTCTTGATATTTGGATAGTATCGAAGTCTTTATGCTAACCATGTGACAAGACGTACAATGAAAAAATTGAAGCGCCCATAGACTAACCAGATTCAGTCTCATGAACTTTAAATTCAATACTTCAGGCAGTATTTTTTACTGATAAACTGAATTATATTTCCTTTATAATTTTGAAATGTATCTTCCTTTTTCTCTTTTTCATTAGAAGACATATAAGCGAACAATATTGTTTTCAATTAGTTCTCATCAGGCTTTACACTAGTATACATAAATTTTCTCACACGTAAAACATTAAACCAATCATGGTGGGTTATTTATCCTGTAGTAATTCGGAAATGAAGCAGGCATATACTAGATATCTAGACAATCATAATAATAATGATAGTTATCTCAATGGTGATGAAAACAATGGGAAATGCATGGTACTGCAAACATTCAAACAAATAATGTCGATTATAACTTGGAAAAGTGAAAGTTACGCAATACCAGAGGATGAAATATGTAGATAACCAAAGTCCAAACAAATAAATAAACATGTGTGAAGAAGGTGGAAATAGGATAATATCTGAATTCGTCTTTAAGGTTACTTATTAGATTTTCGCTGGCGAAGTCAGAGATAAAGGCTGCACAACGTTTTACTGCACACAGAGAACACAGTTGTTTTCTCTAATTACCATAGCCTCAGCTATACGTGAAATGCCGGTACGAATTCTATTCGAAAGATTTTGTGGAATGCCACAGATGATTTTCAACCCTTTGCTCCCATCTATTACGTGACCACTATAGAACAAATGTCACAGAATTGAACTTTGTATTCACTTCACTTGTCCCTCTTCTAGCCATGATGGTAGGTGCTTAGCAACACCTTTGTTTAGATGCCTAGTTGTACGCCCAATATAATTCTCTCCACAGCACCAGCTGAATTGATTAATGCACATAGAAGTGGCAGAACTAAGTAGCTTGTTCTTTTGTCTGGGCAACAATTATCGGCCGACTAGAAAGTGATAAGGAAAGCTTAGCAGCATAGAAAGTTCTTCTGGTGGCTGTAGACAACCTCTGGAATGGAAGTTCACCAGGTGTGTCTCCTTTAAATTGGAGCTTCATGAATAATGAATTCCTTCGAACAGTCATTTGTTAAGATTTTTTATTCACCTTCTCCATATGTCTCTTGATAATAAAGTAATGGGGGTAACCCACTTCTACCAGTATATTGTAAATGTGTTCTAACTCGTCTTATATCAAGTCATTTTAGCAGATCTGCTTGCAAGACAGCCAAGCTTCTTTTATAACGAATAGGCACAAAGCTAAGGAAATGTATGTGCTGCCTGTAGATGTGATCCTTCTGTACACCCTTCTACTGAGTGACGCGCCGTCTCTTCTAATAAGTATTTTCTTCATGAGTGAGAGAGGGATGTATGTCACTGAATTTTCTTAACAATTCGTCCTTATCAACGTTTTGATGAAGGACAATGAAAGTGTCATCAATTAACGTTATACATACCCAGGTTATCGATGACATTTTTCAGCAGTTCAATCTCAAGTTTAGGAAGAAACAAAGCCTAATGTGAACCTCTGACACTTGCATCAATCTGTCTGTAACACGTGTATCATTAAAGGGAAAATTCGCATTCATGGTGCATCTTAGAAGTTAACTGTTTGAAACCAACTTCTGGAAGTCCAACTCAATCTGCTTTTCTGATAGATATCTGCTGACAAGGAATTCTGCTGTTTTCAGAAGTTGGTACATTGGTAATAAAGAAGAAACATCTAAAGATATTATGTTTTTCCGTTGATATGTATCTTTTCTAACCTGGCGATGAATTGAATACGTCTTTGACACTATTCTTTACAACTTGCTTGTGTAGAGAAAGGAAGAATGAAAAAATGGTGAGATTCGATATAGCGTCATTAATATGAGGATAATGTATGTATACTTCTGCGCCACTGACATCGGTTCTAAGCCATATCCCCTAGAGTCTCCAACCACTGGTTCCTCTTGTCCCGCCGACCCCAACCGACTAGTCTGTATCACCCCACATGGCTCAAACCAACAGTCAGAGACTTCATACATTGGTGCCATGTTTTAGTCTGGCCACCTCGAGCCTTTTCCAGCCTCAACCTACCTCGGCCAACATTGTGTGACGAGGCAATCGGCGGCTAGGCATACGTAACACATCCCAACCATCTCGGTTGATGAAGGTTCACAACCTTGTCAACTGACTTACCTCTTCTCCCTAAAACTCTCCACCTGACTTCTGCATTACTCATGTGGTGAGACCACGGAATACGGTCTATGCTACGAAGGCAACGGTGGTCAAACACCTGAAGCCATCCTTCTCATGTCTTCCACCTTCAATGGCCATGTTTCACAGCCATAGAGTAGAACAGAGCGAACTGCATTGCATTACACGCGACCCTTAATAGGACAATCGGATATCACGGCGGGGCCATAGGTGGCATAAGTTGACAAAAGCCAGCCGAGCCCTTTGTGTCTGTGCACAGATTTCATCGGCCACCGAGCCACCAGGGCAGGGCTGATCCTACTTCTCAGATAAGTGAAGTGGTAGACACACTCAATCACTACACTCTCTATTGTTAGCCGTGGCACCGTTGAAGACCAGTCCTGGAGCAACAATTTGCATTTGGATGGTGAGGAACGCATCCCAAACATTCTCAGAAGACTCTGCATCTTGTCAGCGTCTTCACCTAACAGGACTATGTCATCTGCATCAGTTTACTATTAGCACAAGACTGTTGCTTCCTTTACTGGCCAAAGGTTAACAGATAAAAAAACTAACCGAGACCACACTGCAACAACAAACCCGTGTAAAGTACCTGCTTGAACTTCAATCATACATGTATATTTTCGCACTTTGCCGAACGCAAAAACAGGCAGCATTGAAGCTTCTGTACGCTCGACTGTAACTTTTGATTTGGTTTGAATCCAATAAATACAGTTTCACGATCTGAGTCTCATAAACTAGTTGTCTTTGCCATGTCTGAAAAATAATTGGCTTTTCAACACAGTTTAAGGTAGAAGAAAGAGCGATAATGTATTTATTCTGGTAACTAGCAGTGGTATCCAGGATGCGTGTTTCGTCCCGTTTAGGACTCGTCAGTTGGATGTAACTACACCCCAGTGAATGATGTTGTTCCCACTGAGAATCGGACCCAGTACCTTTCGCTTCAAACGCGAAAGCGGTATCGACTGGGGCACGAGAACTACTACTTGTGCAACGGGTTGCAGCTGTTGCTCACTGATACTTTACGGGCTGTAAAAAATTTACCTTTTAAACATGAATAACGGACTATTTCAGAGTTACTGTGTAAACAGAGACGCATCGAGTTCTGTCTTTCTCGTAGGAAAGTAGGAAAGATGAACCGTATGAACAGGAAAAAACCGATTGGTCGTGATAAATATATTTTTGTATATACATGAATCTAGATAATAAGTTACGTCATTATGAAGGCGCGTGAGGGGACCACGGGTTATTCTGGTGTGTTTCTACAGGCATATTATCTGTAAAAATAAATAAAAACAGAACTTGGTTACAGCTTACTTCATAAGAAAGTTAACTTATATAAACTACGCATTAGTGTGATGTAACCAAGTAATCGTGGTGGAATTGGTTCTAAGGGGAGCAATACCTGCTTTAACTTGGTGCTATACAATAAGTATATTTCCAATCGGTTTTAATGATTTATAAATGTTACTAGTTATTTTCCAAAGTCTTTGACTGAAGGCTTCAGTCTGAGTCCAATTTCATCTGGAAAAAGGTAAACCTGATATTTGCAAAATCTACACCTTTAGGCGAGGGTATGACACAAATAGGTGTAACTCAACTGAGAAATCTCATTGGGAATTCCATTTTTTCCTCCGCATTATTCTTACTGTGAAATGTACAAGTGCTCAGCTTTATTCAGTTTACCACTAGTTTGATGTGGCAACAAATCCCAGTTAGGGAGATGTGGAAAAAAAATCAGCTATCCGAATCGTTTTAATCTAAAAACATGACTGGTGGACTCGAATGTAAATATTTGAGACAACAGCCTAGTCTTTCTTTACATTATCTACTTGATAAGCATTGCTGATCATAATGTGTTGTCTATTAGTATGTGCTGTACAAGCAATCTGTAAATCAATACTCAGCATGGGCTTAGATATCCAGTGTTTTATCAAATTATCAGTTCAGGTTCTACTTTGAACATATTTTACTCTTATTTTATTATGATCGTGCTCTTGAATACTCTTATTGGAAAAACTACCAGCGAAGTTTACGTTGGTAACTGAAATAATCCGCCTATTTCAACAATTTAGGAAGGTCATGTTTATGGCTTAAATGCAAATGTTTCAAGAATTTCGTTGAAAAAAAAAAATACTGAACGTACACGGATATGGGTATTGCTGAGGAGGTATGTAAGGGTACGGATTTTGTACTGTAGACGGGTACATTGGAACGGATGGCCAGGCACTTGTGCCATACATTGGAATCTGCCACTGAGGTTGCATATTATGATATATATTCCACTGGCTTGATGACTGTGGCTGCATATATGGTCTGAAGTTATGGTGCTGTTGACTTTGCTGGTGATGGGATGGAAATTCATGCGATTGATACACGCGTTGAGGACCCAGGGATGATGCTTGACGTTTCATAGGTCCGAATAAGGATTTACCACGTAGACTATCCGGTTTATTTGATTGGTTTGAAGGTTTTTGAACTGGATTTTTTGGGCCTATTCATACAAATCCACAAGAAAGTGAAAATATTTTACTTCATAATCATAAAATAAGTTAGTGCGGTATACGGCATGAAAAAGTCAGCAAAACTATAATTTTGCAAATGGTTTAGACACCACAATTAAATTTGTGGATGCAATTTAAATGTGATCATCAAGTTTTAAGTGAATGGGACCTCCACGTGTAAAAAGTTGAAATATACATCTCTACTGTTAGAAGTGGACGCTGCTAGTGATATCGTGTACCACTGCCCTTCCCGCTGCTAGCCACTCATTATATTAAGCTGAGTGGTTTAATAAAACCTATGGAAGGTAATAAATTACGATGTCTGCAATATAAAATTAAAACCTTAGATATAGTTTGTATTTGTTTAGGTCACAGCGTGTTTGAAATCAAATAATTCCAACGTCTCACACAGAAGTCTGATCCGAGCTTCTTCAGCGAAATAACCGGAATTGAAATATCAAGGATATATAAATGAATCCGAAGACGCGTATTTTACCTCCTTGTCCAATCCTCTTTGTATAGTCATTATCTTTCTAAAATGTGATAACTAATCATTCAGTGTGAAATTGCATGTCTAGTTGTATGGGTCACCGCATGTGTGTTTTACCCCTCAGATTCTCCTTGATTGTGAATATCAGACAAAAAGGGTCACAGGTGACGTTATAATCATTCGGTAATATTTATAAGCACATATGAGGCGGATATGTATGTCATTTTAGTTGGTATATGGGGCTGAATAGTATTAACGAATTATTTCATTGATTTGTTGGAATAGAGTAGTAATGATGTCAATGATGAATCAAATCAATCCAGATTGTGTTGCTGTTGATGCAGAAATAATGAAGTTGAGACTGGTGTTGACGGTAAATGCTAGAGTCATTCTTTCTGCTTACTAATTAGTAATTGCCAAGAGGCTGAGCTCCATCTTGTCTGTTCACACTGTCTGGATTCGCCCATATATGTAGAACTTTGGCTGTCAATCTTTTTTGACATGACCCAAAACCTTTTTGTAGAACCTTGGTTTCGTCAAAGTCAATTTGTGTCCCATTTCTATGGCGTGTAGCACGATTGCCGATTTGTTTTCTAGCTTCTTAACCTCTGCTAAGGTTTTCGAAATCTGCTTTAGGTATAGTCTATGCTCCTTCACTCTTACATTTACCTGCCTGGTTGTCTTCCTTACATATACTGCAGTGCAATCCGCGATTTGATTTCATAAACGCAGTTCTGCTGATTTTCTTTAAGTACTATATCTTTAACTTTCATTAAGTTAGAGAGTAGGGTAGTTGTTTCACAAAAGTAAACTCTCATGTTAGTTGAGAATTCTTCGTATTTTTTCCGAAGTCTTCCTACGGTATGAGACAACGACCGTGTTTATCCACTTCTTCGAAAGGAGTTTCAGTACATCCTTAATTTTATTTTTTTTACACTCGTTTGACGAACATGACAAATGAACAAACAAAAAGCTAGGACCAGACCTCCGTACGAAACGTTGGAATTATTTCATTTCAAATACGTGACTTACACAAATACATGTCAACCTTTTACTCAGGACCATACTGTTTGGTCAAATCTTGATCATAGTTCATTTAAACAGAATTAAAACCGCCTGAATTGTAGGCGATGGTAAACGCATATGAGTAAATAAGTTACCTGGCGTTGGCACTTTACGTTTTTTTTTGAACTTCCGTTTATGTAGTTTCTCTTGTTCATCATCAGAAAAATCTAGAGCCTGAAATTAAAAAAATAATGGTCAATTAATGCAAAGCAACTGGAAGGGAATCTCCACTCATTTCTGTACACAACTTGTATTTTCAGACAAACCTGTAACAATCTCAATGCATCAGACTTTGTTTTAGACATCTAGTCTGAAGAACGTTAAGATGGGTGAAATATCTTTTATAAAGTGCGTAAACTGTATGCTGTTATTTTGCGTACATACTTACTCAAATAACCATTGTTTTCAATAACAAATTTTGCGTCCCAGAGTTAATTGCTTATCTGTACTGAGTTGAATTTAAATGTGAAGAATGAACTGCTATTTTCTAGTCCGTAGTGGTCAAGTAGCACCCACACAATATATAAGACAAGACTTATCATGATCGCTAACTATGTGGAAAAATTGCACTGATTTTTGCTGGGCAACGCGTAGGACGTTTTTTATTCAGTGAATTACTATACTTTCTGAGGGTGTTGCTATGGGGTCAGCACTAGGCCCCTAAGTTAGCAGATATTTTCCTAGCAAAGTTAGAAAGTCGCCTTTTGGAAAGCACAATAAGCGAGTTAGAATTCTACTGCTTTCACGTGGATGATACATTCCTAATTCTGAAGAAGCAAGATGATGATGATGAATTTAATGGCGTTCATCCAGCGATAACCTTTACCATTGAGAGAGAAAGTGACGACAACATCGCCTTCTTGCATTTCTGATTGACAAGGAAGACAGACATCGGAAACCGATGTCCACCAACTAATACACTCCTTTTTTGAGTTCCGTCCTTTTGCAATATAAACGAAATTAAGTCCATCAAGCAAGACCTATCTGCTTGGATGATACTTCCGATGAAGAACTCTAAATTATCTGTGACCTACTCAATAGTAACGGATATCCAGAAAAGGTTCTAACTGAAAATGTGAATATATCTAATGTAAAAAACTAGATTACCTACAGCTTTCAAGAGACCGCTGTCTCAGGATGACATCATCAGCGAAATTGTAACACAGTGCCTAAGGTGATCATTTAATACAGCATAGTTATGTTGTGTCGATGATTTCGCGAATCAAAAACAGACTACCTCAATGCCTCTTTTGTATGCTTTTACCAGTTCAATTGCTCTTGTAAAGCTAGTTACATTGAACGTACAGTTAAACAAGTCTGTCGTCAGGATAGCCGAAAATCATCCGTCAGGGTTAAGCAAAGGGAAGACAAGATTGTTACAGAGCTCAGTAATCTCTCCTCTGGTCACCAGCGAGTTAATATTTAGAACGCTTTTAAAGCTATTTTGTGATATTCCCTTTAATCTTACCCATGCTTTACGAGTACGTCTCTTACATACAACAGAAGCTATCCTTAATAAGTCTAAATAACTGTCGGTAACAGTAGACAGTTATTTAGACTTATTAAGGAGACTGGGGGGAAATGGTCAACAACAGTTAGTGAGGTTATAGCGGAGAAGGACGGATCGGCGATTCACTCGCAGGGAAGGCGACTGGGACGATGGGCAGAACACTTTGAGGAACAGTTTAACTGGCCTCCAGCCACCATTGCGCTGCCCGCTATCCAGTCGGACCCTGAATGGGACATAGAGACAGGTCCCCCAACACTAGAAGAAGTCGAGAAAGCGGTAGGTAGCCTGAAACGGGGAAGGGCAGCAGGACCAGACGGACTACCTGCTGAGGTATACAAGAATGGTGGTAGAGTTCTCTTAGTCAGGCTAACGGAAGTGTTAGCCAGTATATGGGAATCAAATACGATCCCCTCCGACTGGTCTAAGTCACTGATCATCCCAGTCTTCAAGAAAGGCGAGAAGTCCTCTTGTGATAACCACAGAGGAATCAGCCTGACAAACATAGTGTCTAAGATCCTAAGTTCTATAATTCTCCGACGCCTGAGTGGAGCTCGGGAACAGCAAGCCCGAGAAAACCAGGCAGGCTTTAGACCTGGCCGTGGATGTATCGACCAAATATTCACACTGCGCCAGGTCCTGGAACATAGGCATGCTTACAGACGCCCGACAATAGCTGTATTTCTCGACCTGAAGGCGGCATTTGACTCCGTTGATCGAGAAGTCTTATGGCAGTGTCTGTCACTGAAAGGCGTGCCTAGTAAGTACATCACCTTATTGAAAGCTCTCTACTCGAACACTTGTGGGCATGTTAGAGCCTATGGTGAGTTGTCCAGGGAGCTATACTCATCAAGTGGTGTCCGTCAAGGATGCCCACTATCCCCATTCTTATTTAATTTTATCATAGATATTCTTATGGAGGTTTCCCTCTCGTCACCTAATTACAAAGACGTTGACCGGACCACAGGTGAATTTTCCTTAGATCTAGAATATGCAGATGACATAGTCCTGTTAGGTGAAGACGCTGACAAGATGCAGAGTCTTCTGAACACTTTGAGTGGGAATTTGAGAATGTTTGGGATGCGATTTTCACCACCCAAATGCAAATTTTTGCTCCAGGACTGGTCTTCAGCGGTACCGCGGTTAACAATAGAGAGTGAAGTGGTTGAGTGTGTTGACCACTTCACTTACCTGGGAAGTAGGATCAACTCCGGTGGGTTAGTTGCCGATGAGATTTCTGCACGGATACAAAAGGCTCGATTGGCTTTTGCCAATTTGCGCCACCTATGGCGCCGCCGTGATATTCGTTTGTCTATTAAGGGTCGCGTGTACTGCACAGCAGTCCGCTCTGTTCTACTGTATGGCTGTGAAACATGGCCATTGAAAGTGGAAGACATGAGAAGGTTACAGGTATTTGACCACCGTTGCCTTCGTAGTATAGGACGTATTCCGTGGTGTCACCATGTGAGTAATGCAGAAGTTAGGTGTAGAGTTTTAGGGAGAAGAGGTAAGTCAGTCGACGAGGTTGTGAACCTTCATCGACTGAGATGGTTGGGACACGTACTACGTATGCCTAGTCACCGATTGCCTCGTCACACAATGTTGGCTGAGGTGGGTTCAGGCTGGAAAAAGGCCCGAGGTGGCCAGACTAAAACATGGCACCAATGTATGAAGTCTCTGACTGTTGGTTTAAGCCATGTAGGACGATGCAGACTAGGTGGTTGGGGTCCACGGGACAAGAGGAACCAGTGGTTGGAGACCCTAGGTGATATGGCTCAGAACCGAAGTCAGTGGCGCAGATGTATACACACATTATCCTCATCTTAACAACGCTATACCGAATCTCACTATTTTGTCACTCCTCTTTCCTTTCTTCTCATACTTTATATTTCTTTTGACTGCATTCACTTATCTTCATCCTTCACCTCACTACCTTTTTACTTGATGTGCTGATATGAGGTGTGGCAACTCGGACCGTTACGCAGTAATGCCTGGTCCTATGTTGATAATGATGATGATGATGATGATGATATCGGAACCCACCCGAACAAGCTGTCTATGTGCTCAGAGGAAATGCGTATAGCCTCTTTCTTTGCCTTGGCCATCTGCATAGCTTAGCTGTAAAAAATATTATAGTTTTAACCATCTTGATTTCCCCTTTCTTGTCTTTAATTATCGTCAACAATAATTCATTTTTTATTTTCTTCGTGTTAAATACTATCATACAAACTATCAATTATGCAAAAAACTGTTTAGAATTTCACGAGTCTTATCATGTCACTACTCTATACTTTAGCTACAGTTTTAATTACCTTGACTAATTATCGCCCCCCTTGATGGTCTGAGGCTGATAACTCATTAGGAAACAATTATGACTACTAGACTCATATGTAATTTTAAATTTTGGGGATGCTATGAACTAGTGTAGAGCTATCGACGATGAACATTAAATGAGAAGAAATATTTCTTCCCTTAAATTGTTTTTTTCTAAATGTCCAAATGGTAATTGTTGCGTAACTACATCTTCTATGAGGTGATAAAAAGGACACGACGACAAGTGTTTGTCGAACAGAATTACAAATTTAGGCACTGTTGAATCTATGCCAGTTAGAAAGAAGTAGCATGACCTTGAGATATAAACCGGAAGTCCTTGTTATACCATACCATTGATTCTAAGTATAAATCTACCCGTGGTTTTACTCAATCACACTTTTTTTCAAATAAGTTTGGATAAAGACTGAAAATCACTGAGCAAGTGATAAGCTACCAGCGTAATATGAAACTTTACTTCGTAACATTATATGCAGTTTAACAATGAGATGCACACATTGTTCACTAAATCTCTTATGTGTGTGTTAATAACACTAACGAGCCAACTACAAACGAATTATGGTAATTTAGTTGGTTGCGGCTAGCAGGGGAACCCCAAACGCGCGTTTTGTCCTATTTGGGACTCGTCAGTTGGATGTACCTGCACCCCAGTAAATGATCTTGTTCCCACTGAGACTCGAACCTCGTACCCACCGCTTCAAACGTCAAGGCGTTATCCTCTGCTAGCCACGACCAACTAAATTACCATAATTGACATTCAGGCAATATCGAGGCATCCGCGTATGAGCCCATATGCCAATAGAGGTCGAACAATCCGATCCAATGAAACAACGGAGGATTACAAGTATATCAATAAATAGTAATAAAAGGGAATTAGTTGAATAGGGTTCAAACTTTGCTCAGCCTAACATACAAACAACTGTCCGGTTATAACATGTAGCGATTCACAGAATGTTAGCATAGACGCAAATATTATTTGATCATGCGTAAGGATGTAATGGACACAGTTCTATCTACCTTTTTTTCTATCCACTTAGTACCAACATATAGTGTGTATGCCTAGCCTCAGCCTACCTCGATGTGTCATGTTAGGGGAAGTTGGATTAGGTTGTAAGCGTGTTCAGGGTGCCCAAACCAAGACGTGGCACCACGAGATGAAGTCTTTCATTGATGGTCTGAGCCGTGTGGGGAGACCTAGACTACCTGGTTGGGGTTTGCAAGACAATAGGAATCAATGATTGTGATGACTTTTGCTGACACAGGTGAAAATCGGTCACAATGGTGCAGATGTATTTGCTCCTTGACATCTTTGACAGCTTGAATATCTGCACTAACCGTTATCGTCGAATTGTTTATCTCGTACAAAACTTTGTCTACTTTGATATTGCTCTTTTTCTATCCACGTATTCTTCGTGTATGAAGCGTGACAACTTCAGCCAATGCACATGTCTACGAGGTTCCACGTTGATTTTACCGGTTCGTCAGTCATGCAATGGACAAAATGTTAAAACCGTATTACTTACTTCTGGAGGAGGTTCCATATCGCCTACCCAAGATGCATCTGATCCTTTATTATTATTGGCAATTAGTTGGTTATAAAAAACGGGGATAGTAAGTTCAGGCATATCAGGTGCATAGAACACGAATACTTCTTTCAAAGATTGATTAGCCTTTTTCTTTTCTTCATAATGACCAGCTACATCGTTGACTGAAGATGAAGTAGTCTGACAACCTTCACTCTCATTTACATCTTTGTCAATTTCACTATGAAGTACATCTAAATCAGTTGTATGAGTAACACTCATTATCTCGACTTGTGTCTGAGTAGATTCTACTTCTTCGTCTTCCTTTATAACATCTTCAGAAGACCCAGCTGATTTTGTAAGTGTGAAACAATCGGAGCACGTGATTTGTTCACTCAACTTTGGATCAGGTACAGAAAATGATTTGGAAAGAATCACAAGATAAAATGGAGTACGTACTGGACCAAATATTTCGTAAACCTGAAGCAAATGCAAACCATAAATTCCATTTTAGAAAGAAAAAGAAACTTCGCACTATAGAATTGTAAGTAAACCCAAATACATATCTCTGTAGTACTAAACTTCAAGCAGTCCCAATACAAAATTAAAATAGCTCAACTCCTTTAGTCCATAACCACACAGAGCAAGAACTTATTATCATGGATCTATGATGCACCCTTATCAACCAGATATGCTGTGGAACGTTCAGAGACAGAAAAAAAATGCAGTTACCTAGCACGATATATATATATATATATATATATATATATATATTGTTGTGTGAGAGAAGACAATACAAATCTAGATGGGTATTGCACAAAAACCGAATTAATCAATTACTAGTTTATTGTGAATTCAATAAAACTAAGTACTAAGACTGGATAGTAAAAAAAGAAGAAAGAAATGCACTCAGCAACCTTGTGCACACTCATGCAGTAGGCAACGAGCCATAGATATTGTATGAGAGATATTTACTACCTGGCTGTCCAAACCTTGACAGTTGGAGTGGGGTTCGACCACATAACTAAGTACAAACTAGTTAAGTTGCACAATTCAGATGCGAGCCATATCACTTATGTAAAAACTAGTGGTAATTCTATTCTGCTCAAAGTTTTCAAGGTGTAAGTCAGAGTAACAATATCAGTAAGTCAAAGATAGGTGTTCACAGACACACACCGAAGTCGATGCTGTCAAACTTTTCATAAGTGCACAAACAAGTGGTAATCTTTGCAAATATAACTAGTCTTACCGTTTGAAGTTATCTCTACCTTACAGTATTTGTAAAGACAACAGGTTACATGCTGCCTCATAAAAAACTAAGTGTGTACTCTCATACTGATTCAGCGTCAGTTGAAGTTGGCTTAATAAAGTGTCTAAGTAACAGGGCCAAAAAGTTACTAGTAAAACAGAAGATCTAAGACAGGAAACCAGATACATTGAAGACACTTTACTCATTAACAATTACCTTCCTAAATTAATTCATAAGTTCCTTAGGGATGGTAAGAAAAATACTAGTAACACAGGCATTAATAGCAGTAATAATAGTAGTGGTAATACTATGAAGAGAGAATTCAAAACCTCTACAGTATTATCATACAAAGAAGGCACCTCAGAAACACTACGTAGGATTCTCAGCAAGGCTGGGATCAGTGTAACATTTAAACCTACAATAAGCTTTGTAGGTTAAAAGATCCTATTGATTCAAATGAGCAGAACAAGTTAGTTTACCAAATCCCTTGCAACGATTGCGAGGTCGAATACATAGGTCAAAGTAGTCGAAAAGAGTCAATTAGGCTATCCGAGCACGAAAACCTAGCTAGGTCGAAACTGGTAGATCCTGGTAAGGTAAGGAATTTAGAAACAAACTCAGCCATAGCTACCCATGCGACTAGATACAACTACAAAATAGGATGGGACAGGGTGAAATTCCTGAAAACTAACATAATAGGATGGAGAGATTGATAACTGAATCTTTGTTTATCGAATTAACACCTACTGCATACAATAGGAATGACTCAGCACCTGTTTCGGATATATGGAAAATCTAACTACTCATGTCACAAAGGGGACGAGGAAATTAGGATTATACAAAGGATATCACGAAGTTGTGTAGTTGTCTTGATATGACCATGGACAATAAATTATGTCCGGAACGTAATTCAGTGAACAATACTGTTACACTGTGTGGTAAATCAATAAAAATGAAATTTCATGTAACTCTGAAGGTTAGAAGGTCCTATTGACCCAATTAAGCAAAATAATTTAGTCTACCAAATCGCTTGGAGTGATTTTCAGGTTAAATATGTAGGTCAAAGCATTCGACTAGGGTCAATTAGAATAGCAGAGCACAAAAACTAAGCTAAATTAGATCCTAATAAGATAAAAAATCTAGAGGAAAGCTCGGCTATAGCTATACATACAATTACATAAAATATGGTGGGATAAGGCAAAAGCATATTAAAAGCTAAGTTGGGTGGAAGGAGAGATTGAAAACCGAACCTTTATTTATCGAATCAACACCAAATGCATCCAATAGAAATGATCCTACACCTGTACCAGATATACGGAAAATTCTACTACCTATATCACAAAGAAGGGTAGAGAGGATTAGAACTATATCAACTCTATCTCAAAGTTGTAAAGTTTCCTTATATGAACAATAAATAATGTCTGAAACGTTATTCAGTGAATAATACCGTTTCACTATGTGACATTTCTAATAAACAGACTAAAATGAAATTACAATCTACCATAGTGCCCATGTTTTACTCCTATATTCATGTAACTACCCCAGCATGTATTTCACTTACTATACAAAATATCTTCTCTCATAACCCATAGAGGTTATTAGTATTTTGGAGCAAACAGAAATGTTAATTAACTTATGGCCAGTGTGAAACCAGCATTAAATAGCAGACGATTGTGAAAACCACTCGTATATGTACGTATGAGTCACGCTAACCATCAATTCAATACCAAATAAGTTTCAATCTGGTTGCAATGTACTAAGTACTGTAAATGTTTGTATTGTAAATATTTCAATAAACAGAGACCTGACAAAAAAATAAAGAGCAAGAATAACAGTACCTAATAAACACTATGTTACTAAGCTAGTTAACTAAGTTATTAATATGCAACAATTACTTTTGGAAAGTGCACTTACCTCTCCTAAATGTCTGCCATCTTCCAAGAATAGTACAGAGCGCTCATCTAGAGCAACTGATGAGCTAAGGGAGCGAACGATAACTACAAAAAATGTATATATGGGATTCAATCATAAAAAAGAATTTTCAATAAAGTTTCCGTGAACTCATTCATATATTTACAAACCACTTTTTAATCCATATACACTTATAAATACCGTTGTATGTGAGACTGATTGCATAACTACTCGAAGCGTGATTCAATGATATACACGTTTATTCAAGACCAAATGTATGCATTGAATTTTGAAATCCTATAGACTAACATATATGCGTTGAAAACAAATCTGGATAAATTTAGCGTGCCGTAGTTTTTGTTCTATAGGATTAATTGCATTTCATATAGATAACTGGATATTCCAAAACCCATTGCAAACAAAAACTGGCTTACCACAATTGTCGAAAACATGAGATATCTTCCCAAGTGCTGAGACTTTGATGTTTGGTGTCTACATAATTTCACACTATACACATAATGAAGCAATCACTTACCAAGTCTACTACTGATTTTAAAACGTAATTAGGTGGGACTGAAAAAACTGGGCCTTTAGGCTAGAATTATGCAATTTGATTAGAATGTTAATATACCTTTTGGATGACAGGTGTTTCAATTATTATTTCAGATTCACTGTCGGATGAAGTCTCTGAAGATGAAGAGCTTTCCGGAATCGCACAAGATAGTGTTGGCAAACTGGACGTGCTTTTTGAACTATTCACAGATGCAGTAGGTTCCTTAAAACAAAGGTAAAATGCAAAAACGCATTAAAAAGGGATTTCGTTTGGGTTGTTTTGTGATACAAGAAGCATTTTAGTATGAGCATAATTGGAGCTATGACTCATAGATTTAGATAGTCCACTTCCAACCAACAGGAACCCAGCTCGAATCCCATTCCATCATTTGAGGCTTAGGCAGTATCATTAACCTTTACGCAGATGGCTGCTTAGGACATAGGTATGTACGTAACTGTTGAGTTACATCAACACTTTCATTAGTAAATCACATACAATGGTTGCAAACCAAAAATATTAATTGATTAGCTGTAACTTCCAGAGAAAACTAACGAAAAAAGTTAAATTTGCTGTAATTGTCTTATTTTTAACAGGGCAAGAAAAGATTTGAAAGGAACCCACAGGGTTAGACTATCGAAGTTTCAATGACAACTGGAACTAAACTCTCGAAATTGCATGAATAAAGTTTCAGAGAGACGTGCTGAATAATCTTGAAATCATAAAAATCACGGAAAGAAAGCCTTAAACAAGTGCTAGTCCAGACCAGTTTTTGTTTATCTCGAATGCAACGCAAATGTTAAGGATTTATACTTTAAGGGAATGAATAATGAGGCGGGAAATATGGACACATTTAAGACGTATGCGGTCGGTGAAACACTAATTGTAGAAGGCAGATTGGTCATTCAGTAAAGTCATCATCAAAACGCTTTATCCCAATTAGCATGGGGTTTTTCTGATGACACCCATACACGCAAACTATATACTATGAACAAGATATAACCAGCAGGTAGGTACAGCGCGAACATGCACGATAGTTTAAATAGCCTCTACCTGGAATATTTACCCAAGGTAGCAAACATCCATTTTTTGTAATTTATTCACAAAAAGATCTCAGTTGTTGCATTCGCGTTCAGTAGCGGGAAGTATAACACCACGGCTCATGATACTAAATAACAAACTCATTGGGATTTCAATGTTTTGTTAGATGGTAATTTAGTCTTATTTCAAGCACGATCACAATACAAGTAAAAAAGGATAGAAAGCCAATCATATGAGCATCTTTTTTATCGCTTAACTTGTCACGTTCCCTCCACGCAAAGCAGTTTGCTCTAACAGAATGGAACGAAATACCTTCGTACGAAGGAAGTCTTTCTAATAACAGTGGAAAATATATAGCCAGCAACTCCTGAATATTCAAACTTTCTACACAATTTCGTCATATAATAAACACATGTAACGCCAACACTTGGAAAATGAACTGATCTATTCTAGTGACAAGATATTTTACATACTGTACTTCAGAAAGGTAGGTGTACAACCCTCATTTGAAAAAAAATATACCTTTCAGTCACCGTAAACTTAGGAAGTTAGTGGGCGAACCAATAAACAAAACTAAAATACTGGTACCATTCAAAATGAAAAACGACACAGATCCAGGTATTCAAACAGCTCCTAAATAAAAATGTCAACAAACAAATGAATTAGACGTGCATTTAGTTTCCAGTTGACAATAGTAAAGGCAAATGCAACTCAATAACCACCTACAGATTCGTGTATGACATATTAAGTCATAACTGTTGTAAAGGATGTAATCCTAGCTGGTTGCAAAACCTCAGTAGATGAAGCGGCATTGAAATTCATAACTCACTGGTTTAAACGAACGTCTAATGAAATGAGAATTATGTTTGAGTCGAGTAAATTCATGTACAACCACCATAGATACCATAACCATTATTTCAATTGACGGAAAAAATTTGATAACAATAAGCTTCAAGACATCTTACATAGAATGAACCACACAAGTTATTCCCAGATGACTATTGCGTAACTTTTGAAGCAAATTTAGGATTCTGACTACCGATCAAGTGAAATCCAAACTGAAGCTTCAATTTAATCACATAAATAAGCCTCAAATAGGACAGCAAAAAACCGTACATGTTAGGGTGGGGTTTACAGTTTAGCATAATATCCAGCACCAGCTTGATGAGCTACATTTCACATCAATATAGGACCGCACATTACTGCATTACGATCCACGTTAAGATACCTCATATCAGCAGATGAAGCGAAAAAGCACTAAGACGAAAGGTTAAGAAATAGAGAAGAAAGCATGGTGGTAGAAAGTCGTGATAAAATAACCAAGAACGATAAAATACTGAATTCAGTATGACGATTAAGATTGGGATAATGTGTGGATACATCATCAGCATCATCAATATCAAAGTAGGACCAGGTCTTATTACGGTCCAAGTTGCCACACCACATATCAGCACATCAAGTAACAAAGCAACAAGATGAAATAACGAAAAATTAGTCTAGAGCAGAGGAAAATAGTAAAGGGGAGGATAGGACAATGACAAAATGCTGAATTCAAAATAGCGATTACGACGAATATAATGGGTGGATATACCTGCGCCACCAACACCACGAGTTTCCAACCACTGGTTTCTGTTGTCATGTCGACCCAACCGATTGATCTGCATCTCCCTACATGGCTCAGGTCAACAGTCAATGACTTCATGCACTGATGGTGTGTTTCACTTCGACCGTTCTTAACTTACTTCAGCCAACATTGTGTGATGTAGTGGACGGCATGAGGCATGAGTAACACATGTCACAGCTACCTGAGCTGATGAATGTTCACAACTGACTTTCTCTTTCATAAAACTATATACCTGACTTCTTCGTTACTGACATGGTGGTATCACGACACATGGCCTATGCTGCGAAGGCAACGGCGGTCAAACACCTAAAGCAATCTCATGCCCTCTATCTTTAATGGCCATTCCCAGACACACAATAGAAAAGAGCGAATTGCAGTGCAGCACACACAATTCTTAATCGACAATCGGAAACCACCGCGAAGCCATAAATGCCGTAAGTTTCTGAGAGCAAACCAGGCCTTTTTTATCTGTGAAGAAATTTCGTCGAGCGCTAACCAATCTGCGCTGATCCGACTTCCTACGTAAGTGAAGTGGTCAACGACCCCACTCCCTACTGCTGGAAAGAGCATCACTGATGGCCAGTCCTGGAGCAACAATTTGCATTAGAGTGGCGAGAAACGCATGCATCCTATTCTTAAATTGCTCCTAACGGTGTTCAGAAGACTCCGCATCCTGTCAGCGTTTTCACTTAAAAGCACTATGTCATATGAATACCCTGGACGTACCAAAGATTCTCCAGTGATATCAATCCCTGAGAAGTTAGACTAAGAAAGGGAAACCTCAATAAATAGGTCTATGATGAAGTTGAATACGGATGAAGGAAGTGGATATCCTTGACAGACCACTTAATGTAAACAGCTCACCATAGGCTCTAGCAGGCACACAGGTGTTCAAATACAGACCCTTCAACAGAGTGATGTACCTGCTTCACACCCCTTTCAGTGAAAGACATTACCATAAGGCCTCTCGAATGATGGAGTCGGATTCCACTTTAACATCAAGAAATACAGCTAGTGTCAGTAAGCATGCCTGTGTTCCAGAACATGGCGGAGTGTGAATATCTTGTTGATACATCCGCAGCCATGTGTGAAGCCCGTTATTCATCACGGACTGACATCAGTCAAGGAACCACTGAACATCTAGGAGCACTGGACAGCTGTTTTGTCCTAGTATGGGACTCCTCGGCAGTACGCACCCACCAGCTACGGATCGAATCCAGGACTTTCAGGTTTCACGGCGAACATGTGAACCATTCAGCCACTGGGTGGGAGTTCAATAGTTCAGTCCACAACTTCTGTCAATTCGTTATATAGCACGACTATCACAAAGGTCTCGAGATGCCATTCGTTTCCCTTCCGACTGGTTGACCCCACAGGTAATGGCTTCTTAATACAACTTTATGATATTCGTTTGAAAGCATGTCACTCATGAGCACTACACAGTTATATATTTTGAGATAAACGGGGATTCTAATTTTGAGGTAGTATTTATCACCGACTGACATCAGTTGGCAGGCACTGTTTCTCAGGTGCTTGCATCTTCCAGAATGACAACATTGTGAACAAGAATCTTACGGTGGATCGTTTTAGTGCTGGGTAGCGCACTCAAACCCAATTACAACCTTTATTTTAACTCCCGACACACTAGTAATTAATACCGAACACTTTTTCAGGTTTTGCATTTAAGTTCTTGAAGTTAATATCCGATACGCAACTTCTTGACTGCTGTAGTTATTACTCCTAACTTCTTTTAGAGATAAGGAGCAGCCTAAATGTCTATTTACTTCCACATCATGGTTCACATACCTTAATTTTGAGTCACTTGGATGAATACCTCTACTGTGCTATTTTATCTCTAGGCAATTAGCACTCGAAAGCTTAAATAAGTTAATGAACATCCAAAATAATTTCCATAAATTGTTGTGTAATGAATTTAAAAACAATCATTTTCTAGTGTATATTCTAAGTTGTTTAACAGTCGCTTAAAGATAACAAAACTAAAGCTTTGCCAAAAGAATACATAGACAATTATAGCCAAAATATTTTTATACACCGACATACTAGATGTCAACACCAAATAGAAACCTTAGAGAAGTTCATTTTTATCGGTAAATTCATGTTTTAATCCATTCAACTAAGTCGCAAGGACTACTGAAAGGCAATCGGGACATATATACCTAAAAAAGTGGACTTTTTCTGATGGATTTGGAAATGGATACTGGGCTTAAGGAGTGAAGACAACAAAACAGCTATAGGTTAACTAGCAAAGTACTGCACCATAAGTTCGTACGCTATACAGTGATACAGTACTATTCTTGAGGGACACCGAGAATAGATTGGCAGATGTATTCAACGATCAAAACTGGCCTCAAAGACTGACCCTGTCAACGTGGAGTCGACTGAGAAGTTGCGGGAGTAGACTAAGTTTATCCTGTTAATATTTCAATGAAACCAATAAGCATAGTAGAAGGTGAACAATAGAACGCAGATGTTGCTTCCTATAGATACTTGAACCTCAAAATTTTCACTTCGTATATAGCTATGAATAATGAACCACAATAACCAGCGTGTTTCTATGAGGCAAACACGCGAGAATAAGTACGCAGCAGTTATGTTGTTTATTAAACCAGCCATAGTTATCTACCACTTCACTATTCCTATTGCACAAACCATATTACTAATCTTCAGGTGAATTTCTAATGAAAAGGAAGTTTTACTAGTTTAGTTGGAAATTAAAATGCAAAAAGCTGAGAAATACATATCCTCTTCTAGTGAGATAAGTCAACTCCCAGTTGGACAAGCGTAAGTCTGAATTTTACTGATACAACACAGAAAATCATAAGCACACGAAATATATACTATACATCACACCAGGAATCTTACATCTGTTGTGCTCATAGTTCACGTGAGAATGTTCACCATTAATTCATAAATGGCGCGATTGTCTTCCTGCCCCAAAAGTCCAACAATTATAGTGCGAGCAAAAGAATCTTATAGTTTCTCCACTCTCACTCCTGGATCTTGAGGATCGTTTCTTTCTGTCTGGTGGCACTTTTTCTTTGGCCTCAGTAGTCCGCTTAATTTACCTGTTTATTGCTTTGGAAGTAGTGATTGTCTATTTGAAGGTAATTGTAGCTTGGTTTGTTTTGGAGAGCAAAGGAGCTGGTAATATGATCAATTAAACATTTACAACTCCTGCTTTTTAATCAACTCCAAGTAGGCATTAAACCTCATTTAAAAAGCACTGCAAGAAATAGGGCGTGTAGGGAATGAAAACAGGGGGAGAGGCGATGGCCTTGTTTCAGGTACTGGGGTTGGGGAATAAACAGATGGATGACTATGCCTTCAGTTCCTGCCCGCGAATGATCGTGGTAAGCCGTCATGCTCACGCACTTATAGAGCAGTCGTCTCAAGCAGTCAGTTGATGTGGCTGAAGCAGGAGGTTCTATAAGACACACATTCTGTGTACATAGGCTACATCTCACTTCCATCTTTGCTCCCTGGTGCGGTGTGAGGGTGGCGTTGCCATGAGACCATTGGTTTTGGACCGATATTGTTGACCCGTCGGGATGGTCCACTTGGATGATCTCGTGGGATGTTACTAGGTCGCCCCCTTTCCTTTGGTAGCTTAAGGTGAACAAGTTGTTTGAGATGTTTTGCATGTGTTTTGCTTGTTGTTCAGGCAACTGACCTTGTCGCCATCTTCTGTGCCTTCTAGAGAAAACTCGTGTCCCGCTTTAGCGGAGGGAGGTGGCATATTGTCGAACATCTCTAAGTGTGGTTTAACACAGGATTCAAATACCACAAAAATAGTCCAAGGGGTAGAACACCAGGCTACCTTCTTAGGAAGTGAATAATGGCGTTTGGCTTTGTCACCCTCCCTGTATAGTTGACACAAGTATCTGGTGTAATAGAAGCTTCGTCGTAGATCATTCCCTGCAGATACTCTGGTAAATGCCCACCTATTGGGAGTGCAGCCGGTTTTCATCTCTTCTGGTATGGGTCGATACATTATTTCGTATTTCTTCAGGCCACAGCTCAAACCTTTCCCAGCCAATCAAGATGCCAACTGCAAAAGATCGTTCTGGGGTATCGAAGGATCCTCTGTCCCGTCTGTTGTCCTCACGTCGTTAGCAAATTTGAGGGCAGACGATGAAATCTGAGAAGGGAGGCCACTGATGAGTGGTTAAAATAGGATGGCCCGAGTATCACTTTATCGGGAGCTCTTGTTCTCGCACTTTCCAGGTCCACCGAATTCCGTTTATTTTTCCGCAGAATTCTGCTTTCCCCAAATATGCTGTAAACCATTCTGTGGGTGGTTCAGTGATACCTAATTTCGCAAGTTTAGCGAACATGGTGGGGTGTGGGACGCTGCACCTTAGTACGAGAAGTAATACTACTGGTCTGTAATTGTATGGTATTTTCAGTCTCCTGCCTTTGACACTGGTGAAAGGATGGTACGCTTCCGTTCTTTGGGGAGTTGACTTACTTCCAGCCTGTGCATGGACATATTATACGCGGATATACTTAGCATTTCGGCCCAGTTCCGTAAGACCATTGGTCTTATGCTGTCAAAGTCCAGAGATTTCCCCATTCAGATTGTCAAAGTTTCTCAGACACTCAGCATGGAGGAACCTTTACTTCCCCCAGTTTGCATTGTATTCATGGAACTTCAATATCTCACTCTGTTAGACCGCTCACCAGACTGGTCCTCAACGGCCCCGCCATCTCACCCCTATTCAAGATCTTCCTTCGGTCCTGTGATAAGGTTCAGACCTTTACTCCAGTTCTCGTTGTGACGTAGGCCGATAAAAGTTGCTTGGGTTGCGGCTTACCTGTTTAGTAACGTTACTCTGGTATTCATAAGCGCTATTCCGAGCACTCAAATTACAAGGACTGCACAACTCCCTATATCCAATGAAGTCCGATTCCTTGTTGGATGGGCACCATTTGTACCGTGCACCCTTTTCCCACCGTATTCCCCCTTAGGTTGCGCGATTAACGTTGTAGCTTTTGAGAAATAGTCGTCTATGTATCTTCCGAACACTTTATTCGATAGGGCTCCACATAGTGGCCTTCATATGTATCCAGTGTTCTTTCATCCATAGAGGCTGTCATTCTTGTGGCTACCGATCATTAGGAGTTTATTACTGATGAGGTGGTGGCCTGCCTTCTGGTATAAGCTTCTTAAACCCAGTTGCAGAAAATGCGTCTATTGAGTGATTATTTGTTAACCTTAGGTCCAAAATTTCCCTGTTAAACCCCTTTCAACACCCGTATTACTTTAGTTATTAAAACCTAAAGGGCTACGGAACGACTACCATAAAACATGTAACCCACCTGCAATTTTTTCCTCATATTTTTCAGCAAGCCATGCCTCGGCTAGGCAACAAAACGAAGAAATAACTTGATGAGGACTCCATACCGTATGAAACGCTGTTTGGAGCAAAGCGAGCAATATTACTAAAAAGCGAAAAATTTTTTGCTGAATGAACTCTTTGTCGCATGAAAATTAGAAATTCTTAAGCGAATAATTATCCTCCGTCTTTTAAAGTGTTTATTCAGGAAATGCCAAATGCCTTTGGCTGATTCCACCATAGTAGATAGAGTTGTAAAACGTCTAATACGCCCAGGGTAATTGATTGAAATATTTCACCCCCTTCGTATTAGCCCTCTGAACAAAGGATAAAAATCCTTAGGAGGAGAAAACTGATACTAACATGATATACGTCCACAAGCTAGGTGGTTCACCATTCATGTCCACCAAACGGCACATCCTCAAGTTGGAAGCGAAAACGTAGAATCCAAATCCTTCCCCAACCACCGGCTACCAGCCCGCTGGGTCACCGGCAAAAGATCTGTTCGGCTAGTGAGCCCTTTTAACCTTCTTATCATACTTTCCTGGCCTGGAAACTCAGGAACACCTCACTGATAGATAGCGTTTGCATATTTTTTAGCTAATAATTCTAACTTAGTGAATATGTGTACGTGTATTGCCAAATTATTGATTCTGGTTCCCAAGTTCAGAATCAGCCTCGTGAAAAGTTTTCAGATAGTATCTTTGTCACGACAACAAACAAGCTAGGTATCAAATCTTCCTTACCAACTCAAATCCCATTAAAATATTAAACTCCTAGCTTCTAGTGAAGTCTTCAAGCCCACTTAAAGTACCTTCACTCCTTTCAAACGACCTAGACTCCAGCACCACATTATCCTCACCTTCGTGTGTAGTGACCGTTGGTACTGCTGATATCTGGAATGACAAAGCAGATGATGGACAGAACGTGGTGACTACCTTGGTTACAGTCGTTGATGTAGGGACTAGTTAGACTGACCAATTCCCCCTACTATCCCCTGGGGAGTGAAACCTACCATCGGAACCGGGGGCCCCGCGAAGAGATCATGCTTTCGTCCCCACTAGGGCCTGACGTTTGTAAACTGCCAGTGAGCCCTCGTAGCGACGTTTTTCCAACACCATCCCCATCAGTAATGCCTACCACAAATCGAATGAGGTTAGTTGTGACCAATGTGTATCAAAGCATAACATGTAGAAGAAACATTATTGCCTATGATATTCCCGACAATGAAAAAGGTAAAGAGAATGCTTCTGAGGGTTTGCTGTGTGAATTAATTCATGTGGACCGGTCATCAGCCTAAAAATCTCCAAAAATCAACCCCACCGACCTAGTCAAGTTCAGTTTATCCATTGATGTAGATAAGTTCTACGGAGATAGCATTGCTTAGGAACATGCTCTACCACGTGGTTGACGTGAATGATGACAAACTCTAATCTGAATTCTCGCTTCTTACCTTGACCACAACTCGGCATCCTTACCCTTCGAAAACAGCTCCCATGCCTCCCATACACAATCAGACCAAATCAAAAGAATTCAGTTCGCCAACGCACGGTAAATTGTGCTCACCATCAGTGGTGTGTAATATGACGAAGGTCAATCATAGTGTATTCCATCACATCGTGAACCACTGCTTGCCCAGACTTCTTTTCTGATTATTCATGAATCTCCTCAATCAGCTGCAAAATAGCACGGACCTTACTCATTGGGCAGACTGGTCTATCCCTTCTAACGAACTTTAAAGGTGACGACAATGGCACTTCTTAGAGCCACCGCACCCTCCATTTAGGCAGTGTTCACTAAAATTTCCTAGCTCACTCCCGTATACTTCTCCTGACACGGAATCTCCCAAATTTGACACCTAGCAAACCCAAACATCTGAGTCGAAATCATCATAACTGGTCACCTTAAAGTTTTGGTCTTCGCACCGTTGCGAAGCAAAACCCGTTGACACAAGTTAATGGGCATAGTTGTTAAAAGCCATCAGTTGAACCACAGATCGGTTGCAAAATCAGCTACAATCCTGTTGATGATTGCGGCCCCCTTAATAGCCTAGCAAAGCCCTGAAACAACTGCAACACTGTCGACCACTTGTTGCTACTGTATCAATGTTTTCTGTCGGCAAAAGCGGTATAAGTTCCCGAGTGCTGAAGCAACCAACCGAATCCTGAGACCTGGCGCAAACCAGTAGTTAGCAATGCGCCAACCAGAGTACCACAGTAACACTTCGTGATGACTTAACGGCACCATCACTTGTGTCGCAACAGCTCTTCGTTCCAACTCTTTTTACGGGTGCAGATGTCATCCACTTTCATTTGTCGGAATCTCGAAGTTTTTGTTTTCATCAAAATTTCCCCACCATATACCCCTATTTTACTGACATGTTATTATAACGTGGGAATAAAATGATTATATCCCACCACCAAATGGTTCGGGACATGAGAAACATTTATCGCTGCCAAACGACACACCTACCCACTCTTCTGATTAGTGGCTAACGAAGCAACACACAAAGTACTCGCTGCTGGCGTGTCAGCCTACCTCAACACGTACCATGGAGGCCTGATGCACGTCTAATTTGAGAGATTAATTCGTCTA